TAAAACCAGTGGAGAACCTTGGCTCTTCCAATGTCAGCTATTCAAACCGAGATGAAAACAGCACCGGCAAATAAAACAGAAGGTGGGCTGTCCTTGAGATAAGCATATCTGAGGTTGATCCTCAATACCTGATATTACCAGTACCCTCTGATGCCCAAGGCCTAAAATGAGAGTATATGCTCACCCCTCCAAGGAAAGCATGGGTTCCACATTATTGGTGGTGGTTATTGAATATCAATATCCTTCTAATCACCTGAACTAGAAACATGGACTATTTTAATTCTCGAATCCCCACTGGACCCACCATGAAATCATTTTGCCTCAACTGATTTGTTTGACCTTCACCACTATAGAATCAGATACTCATTATTCCTTCCTGGACATTTGTAATTGTCTCTCATTAGTGCCCCCCCTCCCTCTCTCCAGACCCTAATCCATACTTCACACTGCTGTAAGAATTGTTACTCCACAACACAAATATGGCTATCTCATCTTCTTTTTTGATGTAAAAATAATGCACAGGATCAATAAAAGCCAAATCCAATTTTTGTAACATGATCTCTCAGGGCCTAACAATTGGGTTTCCTTCCTGGACACATCTCTCACCGTATCCTCTATCTCTAACCTCAGTCACATTATACCTGACTGTTTGTCACACTCCAAATAGACTATTCATTTTCCTATGCTACAGTATCATCCCCTAAATGCCCGTTCAACTTGTGCTCAAGCTACAAGAACCAAATCCAGGTTACTTTATTCATGAAATCTCTTTTATGTTACCACCGGTCCTGATAATGCTCTTGTTATGTGCTATGCTCTATTCTAAGCTTTTTTATGGATTGTATTCTGTTTAATTCTTACCACCCCCTGGTTTCTAATTGTATGAACTGGAGAAAAATCATAAAACTTTTTTGAACTCAGTGTTCCAGTCTGCAAAATGGGAATACCAGTGTATAATTTCATGGTTATAAAGATCGTTGAATAAATGAACATAAATCATTGTCTCATATCAAGTAGCCAATACAAGTGTCTTACACAGAGAAAGGGCTCAAGAAAGGGTAGATAAACTTCCTATCCAAATTCCTTCCTAAACACCCACCTCACACAAGTACTCATTGGGAAAGTTCTATAATTCAATTTTTAAAGCACTTTTCTAAAAGTGCTTCTACTCAAAGCCAGGTTAGTAAAGCAAGTATTGGGATTAAGTTAGAGTTTGGGCTTCAAAGAACTATGAGTTCAAGATTTTCAAAAGTTAAAAAGAAAGCCATCAAATCATTGCCACAACTGACAATATTTGAAGTGTAAAACAAATTCCTTTAATTCAACTCATTTAATTCATACTCTATGAAAGGCAAGATGATACTGGTTTTATCTGTTCATTAAAAGAGCAATGTGTCTTCTGGATGTATGAGTTTGGTCAGGGAGAATCATGTCTTCACACCAGGCAGTACAGTTTGAGGCTCCCCGATAAGACTGTCATTCCAATTCAAGTTATAAATCCCTTACAAATGTGGTAAGAAGGTATAGGTGAGGTTGCTGGCTCAGACAGCATTTGTCTTTCAAAATCATGAAGGTACTTTTCTTTAAAAGAGTAATAGTCTCAACATGGTAAGCCCTCAAATAACGACAAAACCAGGACTCTAATCACAGTTCATAGTTTTCTCTGGTATGCTTTGAAGTGCCCTCCCATGAAACTCAAATCAGAAATGAACTGTAAACAACCCTTTGCAAGGGACACAGGGAGCAGAGAATTGGATGCACAGGAAATTGAAAAGCAAGGAAAAAACCTAATCTTGTTTTCAGAAAAGGTTGGTGGAATGCGGGTACATATACATAAGTGTGGAGACTCCATGCTGATGTTTTTTTTTAGTGCTTGACTTTTTCCTTTCTTTCTTCCTTCAACAAGGCAGAAGATGATGGTAATTTATAAAATTCTGCTCAGTTTTACTCTGTGTTAGGCAGGATGTTTGTCTCAAGGGGAAGAAAAATAACAGTTTGCTCTTATGCCCGAAAGAGAGCTTACATGCATATTGAAGGCAGTGAACCCTGGGTGCTGGTGGTCCACAGCAGTTCCTACTCTGAGGCACTTTGTTGCCCCCAGAGGTCATTTGACAGAAAGCCTCTTGCCCACTGCTCGATGAGTGGGCTCAACGTCTAGCAGGGAGTTGAACATGAAGCTTTAAAAGAGTAATTTTCCCAGCACACACCCTCCAATGACAAACTCACAACTCTGTCAGAGTTCCCAGCTGTCAGCGGGGAGGGTGAAAGCCCCATTTTGAGCTTAGGAGGCAAATCAATTACATGGAAGGTTATGGATGATTTAGATAATGTAAGTAGCCCCATCCCTCATAGCTTAGAAAATCTAAGAAATTTTAAGATGGATTGACTACTAGGTGATGCTAAGGAATTCTTGATTTTGTTGGACCTTGGTAATGTAACATGGTTTGGTAAGAAACTGTCCTTTTTTTTTTTTTTTTCTTTAAAGAGATGTAGGGCTGGAGTGATATGATGCTTGATTGCTTGATGTTTGCTTTAAAATACTCAAGGAAAGGGCTGCCTGTGTGGCTCATCTGGTTAAGCGTCCGACTCTTAATTTCAGTTCAGGTCATGATCTCTGGGTCATGAGATGGTGCCCTGCATGGGGGTCCATGCTCAGTGTTGAGTCTGCTTGAGATTCTCTCTCTCCCTCTGCCCCTCCCCCTGCTCATATTCTCTCTCACTTTCTCTAAAAATAAATAAACAAAATCTTCAAAATACTCTGAGGAAGAAAAATAAATAGCTGAGGAATTATGCAAAATCCTGATAACGAGTCTGGGCAATGAGTAGATGGATGTTCCTTATACTGTATTATTTTCTTGATTTTTATGTATGCTTGTATATATTTATAATACAAGATTCCTGTGTTGCCACTTATGAACAAATGACCTTGGGACAATCACTTAACCTCTTTGTGTTCTGGTTTCCTCATCAGCAAAGCAGCCGTACTAAGAACCCCTTCCCTGGCAGGCGTGCTGTGTGGCTTGAACAGGATATTATGGGTTTGGTGCCCAGAACAGGGCCAGCCAACAGAGCAGGCACCCGATAATTATATAATATCACTTGTATTATGTATGGATGCAGGATTAAGAAGACATTTTTCCTATCACTTACACTCTCATTGCTAGTTTATTTGAACTTCCTGTCTGATCCCTAAGTCAGCCCGACCTTATATTATGAAAAATGAAAATGTATGCAGAAAAATGCTGAATCTGATGCTTTAATCTAATTGAATATAACTCTAATGACACACGCATTTTCAGATGATAGAAGTCACTAAGGATTAGTTATTAAATGATGAGGGTAGAGAGGAGAGAGAATTTTGGAAGGAAAATTACCACAAACAATGTTTGCTGGTTAACACACTTTATATTTAACAAAATAATTTTTTAATAATATAGTCTTTTACACATCAAATATTGTTGCTAGAATCCCCTTTTTACAGTTTAGTGTTTAGTTGTGTTTTTTTTTTTTCTCACTAGTTTTCAGGCACACCATTTTTCAAAGATTTTAGAAACTGAATCGTTTTAAACAGGCATCAGCTGACAAACAGGATGTTGATCCCTTATTTAAACAAAGCTGTAGTTAAAGCAGAGAACCAAAGACTAGGAGGAATGGGAGACAGAGGGGACAGTGGGGCTGCTAACAAAGCCTTCAAAAGAAAAAAAGAAAGCAAAACAGATGAGACCAGAACTCTGTTGTTCAGAGTTTGGAAAGAATTTCTCAATGACCTGGGTAGAAGGAAGTTGTAAAATATTTATTGGTTTATGAGAAATTCTGTCACAGTATAGGTTCATCTCTCCCTAAAGGGAGAAAAATGTCAGTGCTATAAAGTCTTAAAGGAAACAGCTTGTAGTGAAACTCAGAGGAAAAAGGAAATCCGACAACAACGAAAAAAAAAAAAAATCCCTCTCTCTGGCTGGTAACAGAGACCACAGAGCAGCCTTCATTCTGCAAGCTCTCTGAAAAGAGCTTCTTGATGGATATTACACTCCATTCTAGTAAGTTCTTGCTGCAACTATCACTGTGCCAAGACTTTAATGTAAATTGTTTGAACCCTGGCTCCCCAGTTGCACTCTCTGTTTCCTAGAAAGGACATAGTAACTCCTTAATAATAGATAAGGTACTATGCTACATGGCTCTATTAATGATATTTTCTGGGTTTCAAACCTTGTTCCTGTCATTTATTATTATTATTTCTTTCCAAGAGAGTGGATTTTTGAAGCCGGCACCAGGCAACCTCAGGGCAAAGAAAGCTCTATGCTACATCTCTGTCTAGACGCAATCTGAAGTATGGAAGGCCTTTACTTTGGAGGGCAGGAATAAATCATGCAGAATTGTTCATGAATGATTCATGACTGTCTATGTGATGTATCCATGGTGGCAACAAAAGGCACCAACCTTGCTGCAAATTGGTGTTCTAAGAGAAGGCAGCGTGATGTTCTTCCTCGGAGGGGCCCGGCATGGCTGTTTGTATCACACACGAGCACGGTGTACGTGAGAAGTGTCAGGTCCAAGGCATCAACACGTTAATTCTGGAAATGACAACTCTTTCTTGATGACTAGAGGAGCTTCCAGGGAGGAGAGGCTGACCGTTTTAAATGAAAACCCAGTTGATGAGACTAGAGAAGTGTGTCCTGAGAGTGGACCTATGGCAACAGAAGCATCACTCCACTGGGAGAAGACTGACCTCTTTCCCTTGGGGCTGCAGAGGGCGTAGAGGCTCACCAAAGCCATGGGCTGAGCCAGAGCTCGCACAGTATGCCACCCTGGCAGAAACCGATCTGTACTGATTATTCTAAACCACGCATTCTCAACCAGGTGACATTTTGTCCCTTCCCCACTCCTTGGGGATATTTGGCAATGCCTGGAGACAATCTGTTGTCACAATAAGAGTGTTGTTATTGGCACTGAGTGGATAGAGGCCAACCATGTTGCTAAACATCCTAAAAGTGCATGGGACAGCTCCCCCCACCCCGCCTTAACAGTGAATTGTCTAGTCCAAATGTCAACAGAATTCATCTTGAAAAACCTTGTTCTGGAATGCGGCACATCGTGAGAGCTATGGCAAAGCCCAGGCTCGGGTGGGAGTGGAAAAGCAAAGAACATCAGTGATGAAGAAAACCTTAAAGTTTTCTCAAGGACCCTGCCAGGTCTGCGCCAGGGTTGTCAAGACAGGAGAGCGGAATAAGCAACTAACTACACCATGTGGTGTCAAGAATCTTGACTCGAGGTGGCATCAGATACCCTGTGTATTTTATTTTTCTGTTACTATACGAGCAGCATTACCAGGGCAACCTTGAGATGCTTCAAAGTTTCACTTTAATTGTTCAGTATCGAATATATACATTTTAAAAAATGTTCAACAAATGGAATTGTATTGTGCAAGACTCACTCTACCCTAATCTTGAATTTAAATCAGCACTTGAGGTGGAAAGAGTGTCCTGAATCTGTGTTTTAGACCTAGGGCTGAGCGGTCATTACGAAAACATGGCAAACACAGTCCCAAACCATAAAACTGCCTGTGGGTACTCCTGGCTTGCAGCCAGATCTGAACTCAAAAGCCAGGAGTTTCCAGAAGGATTCAGATTCACAGTGGGGCTACTCACCCTGGTTCTGGTATGGAGAGGGCCAGGTGACAGAGCGGGTGTAGAGTGTTGACTTACAAGCCGAACTGAAATTCGGCATCATGAGAAAGTCTGGTGATTAATGCTACAGTTGTGAATTCCTGGCTCCCTTTGGATGCTGTAGTCAAGCTCGGGTGTTCTTCACATATTAGTTTTTGATTGGCAGTTTCAAGGTTTTGTGTCTGAAATGTGTGGTTTGTAAGTATTAAATTGTGATCTCCCACATACTGCACCAAACCCTGACCCCCCGCCCTGCCCCAACAGCGGGTCCAGCTGTAGGTAGCTCTCGTTTTCTGAACCTTACAGGGCATCTTTCACCCAAGGGGAGGGATGGTCAGTTGTTTTTGTGACCTCCTGGTCAGGAAGGGTCCTCACCCCCGATATTCCTTTACTAAAGCTTATATGACACCACTCCAAACTTAACCGTGCCATCAAATCTGACCCCATAGATTCTAAATACGAAAAGAAATTCTACAAGAGAAAAATGCCATGGGTGGTGATGTACAGAAGAGTAGAAATGATGCAAATTGGCGGACGGTGAGCTGGCAGGCTAGAGGTCTCACCAGAGAAGGAGCCTGTACGGGGCTGTTTCTTCCTTTTAGTTTCAGAAATCCAGTGGTCAAGTCACCATCAAGCACGGATAATTACAAAAGCGGTTTCGATAGCTATATACCATATATATTTTATATAGCAAGAGGGAAAGAGAGAAATTTCCTCTTAGTAAAATATTCACTTTTGTCAACCCTAAAAGGTTTTGCTGGTGACCCTGTTGTAGCTGGCAGGAGTTTGTTTGTTTTGTTTTGAACATGTGCAGTGTAGAAGCCATAGCATCCTTTCCTAAGAACTCCTCCTCGGTTGGGAAATTGTCCTACACAGTCTGCTTGCCTTGGCATTCACGTTTTGAACACTGAGCAGGCTTCCACCAGTCCCCGTTGTGACAGTGACAGATGTTACATTCATCCACTTTCACTTCAATGCCAGCCGGGATTATTGTTGTTCCTGCAAAGCAGTTTGGACCTGGAACACACATATACGTTGATTAGTTGATTAAATCTCAGAGGCTCCCTTTTTCTCTTCTCGACCCCAGTAAAAAAACCAACCCCCAAAGCCAGGAATGAGTAGGTCAGATTACTCGCCACAGTTTATTACTAAGGTATTTTCTAGCCATCTCTACTACTCTTTTGCACACAGCTCATAGTCCCTATGTGTATTTAAAAAAAAAAAAAATTGATCCAGTGCACAAAAAACCTTCTTATTGTCTGTTACTTGCAGTTTTCTTAAGTATGATTCTGTGGATCAAACTCTATTTGCTTTATCCTCTGGGGTGTAAATGTTGCTGAAGCAGCCTCTGAAACTCAAGTCGGAGTCTAACATGGTCTGCATCAGATGATGGTACCCTGTGGCCTGTCCTCTCACTTCCCGTGGTGGGTAGGTGACAATGAACTTCCTTATTGCCTGGCTTCAGCACCTCCCCAAAGCCCAGTTCCTGGAATCCCCAGATTGTTTCTTGATAACAATAAATAATTCATGACCAGATGATTTATTCATGTCCCAAACAGTCTTTGTTAGAGGTTCATTTGATTTTTATAAATGGAGCTCCTTTAATCTGCCAGCTATCTTTTTTTTTTAAAGAATGACCTAAATGGTTGGGCTTTTGAAAGTCAGCAGGAATTTTATTTTTCTTTTTCAGATTGAGAAAAGCTTTACTGAAAAAGTCACCTGCTCAGTATAGGTGAATATTTTTAAAATTCACCAGTGTTAGTTTTTCACTTCTCTTTCTCTCCTTTCCTTTACTTTCCCTTTCTTCCCAGTCTGCAAATGCTGGTATTCGGTATTGGTGATATTATTTCTCAAAATCAAATGGAATAAAAATTGCTTCCCCAAGGTGCAGTGGGGTGGTGCAAATTGCTCAAGTCTCTGAAGTACGTATTTGGATAAAGAGAGGGAATTCTGTCTACTCATGATTTATCAACCCAGCATTACTGGCTACTTTCCATAACCACTACAAAGTAACATACATCAATATCTGTGCTCTACTTTCACTTTCTTACTGCTTGATAAGAATTTACGAGATTATCTTTACCATCAAATAAATGAAATCAGGGGTGATTTGTAGTTCCACTTCATAATTGAAATCTTGTATAAAAATGGCAAATATGAAGTTATAATGCGTTCACACAAATCTATTTAATATGCTAGGATTTTAATCATCTGTTGCTTTAGCGCTCCCAGACTTCAGTTGTGGATACACTTGCCAATGGCCTTTGTTTACATATGCCTTTCTTTCATTTGGTGGCCAAACATCCCAGGGTGTGTACCTGTGCCTGGTTCTCATTGAGAACCAACCAGCAAGACTAAGAGGGATATAATGGGTCATCAATGACAAACACCTAGCAAACTGTCTGCTCTCACCCAGGATGGTGCTTCTTTTTATGATGCTGTGGTTATAAGCTCCTGGCCATCTTAACTGCTGATTACTTAAGGATCACTGTTTTAGAATTTAAGTCATTGTTTCATAGGTTGAACAGTCTTTGAGGCTACATCTCCCTGGAAAGATTTCACATGAAATCATTAATTTGTTCTGGACCCAGAAAAAAAGGGAATCTGCAGAGAGCTTGGCAAGGAGCCTTTTTCAAAATGTAGTTGGTTGTCTCATGGCTGTTGTTGACAGACCTCTCTCAGCCCAGCCAGTTTTAGGCCAGCCAGAATCTGGACAGAGCCAAACTAGCTTCGGAAGTCAAACTCGATGACCGCTACCACCTGTTTGCCTGGAGCCACCCCAGGGGAAGCAGTAGTTCCTCTCTCTACCTCGATTCTCATCAACTCTTTTCACCCGATTGTATACTTTTTTCCTTAACAGATGGGGGAAGGAAAAAAATGATTTCCAAACAGTGGTTCCAAAACAAAGAAGTCCCTGAAACAGGCAGAATGTGATCTACTGAAGAGTTTTTTCAGTTTCTTGAGGGGATTTGGAAACCTGTCTGCAGAATCTTAAGTGTGTGTTTACGTGTGTAAGAGGGGTCATTCTGCTGGTTCACAGTGGGCAGGTTCATCTCAATAGCACAATAAAAGAAAAAAGCAGGGAAAGATCTTTGAAAAAGATTTCTGACAAGTCACTGTGCATGTTTGAGAGAGATTTTACTAGTGCTCTAATTTTCCTACTTGTTCCTTTTTGCATGTGTTGGTGTTATACATGATCAGTATATATTTGGTCAGCCTCTCTAAATCATTTCTTAAGAGCCCCTTAGAATTTCCTGCTTTCTCAGCTCAGAAAGTATTAATTTATACTGATTGACAGAATGCAAGGAAAGATCCCTTGCACTTTGCCAGGATTGAACAGAGTCACTGCCTGTAAATAACATAACCACATCAATGGCCAACTTGGTGGCCAGAGATAGTTTACAGAATCCAAAATTCCTGTTTGATCTCATTAACAGTAATTTTATTAGCACCCTTCTGAGAGATTCAGGTTAACTAAAGCCTTAAGTTTGTGGTTAATAGTCTTACCTGCTTAAAAGTAATTTAGTTAATTGTCAAGCAGAATGGTTGGCCCTATTTAGAAACTGTTCTAGTTTTGTCCCTTCCCCCTCAATAGTGGTGATGAAAATATTACTTGGGCTTTGAGAATGTGAGTGATCCATGTGAGTTCCTTCCATAGGAGATCAATCCTTCTATCCTTTTTTTTTTTCCCCCCTTTGGGAGATGTTTTTTTCTTGGTTTGTGTGGAAGGATAAGTTGCTTAGAAGAGTAAACTCAATGGCAAAACTCAATGGCAAAAACAACATATTTAGTGCAAAAGACTTGGAGAGATCCTTAGAGGGGAACAGTGAAATGATTAAACTGAAGGATGGCAAAGAGGACCTGTGAGAAAAGGTTTAAAGGATAAGGATTATTTAATCTTGAAAGAGAAGACAGAGGAATAACTCAATAACTCTCAGGGAATTAAGGCTTATTATGTGAAGAATGGTGACCAACTCTTCTTTCTTCTGACACCTAAAATAAGAGGACATGGAGATAAATTGATTCTCAAGGAGTTAGAAACACATACACACACATGCACACACAGACACACACGAATCTCTCAGAGAAATGAGAACTAAGTAGACAGCTGTAGGGTGAGATCTCTTCTCTTAGACATCTTTAAGAACACAGGAGGAGTCTTCTGTCTGGTATGTTTGAAATTGCCAGCTCCTTAAAAGTAAGACCTGAATATCTGTCATTTCTTATGGTCCAGGCCTAATATTGTATTTGGCACATATTAAAAACTCTGTGTATCTTTATTTAACTAAATTAAATAGTATGAACTAGCTAGTTATATAACGGAAGCAAAATTATTTTCTGAACTAATACATCAGGCTTATATATATCAGGCTTATATATCATATATATAGCATATATATCAGGCTTAGTCCTAAAATATTGGTATAGAAATATTATCAATTAATAGTAACATAACAATAATTTTCTGAGCACCTACTTCATGCCAAGAGTATGTCTCATTTAATCTTTCCAATTAGCCATGTAATGTGCACATTCTCAAACTTTGTGCACCTTACAAGGTTTACAAGTCTATTTCTGAGCCTCAGAGATAGAAAATAGCTTGCCTGAGATCACATGTCTAGGAAGTGACATCAATGGGATATGAACTCAAATTTCTCTAATTTATAGAATACTTTTAATTGCCTACAAAAAGAGGCAGATGCCGATGAGTGCATTGCTGGCTTCCATTGCCCAGATCCTGAGTTTCTGATCGGAATTTAGAAATCCAGATGGTTTTGGTATTGAAGATGCATGCTGGGTTAAGTATCTTGATGGCTAAATAGAAGTGGGACTGTTTTTCTATAGGTCTTTGTCAGATTTATTGGTTTTATATTGTGTAGCCTTACAATCTTCAGAAAACACAATTCATCTAACAACTAAAAGAAATTTCCCGTGGAGAAGATTCTTGGATAGTGAGGCTTTGGTTTTCCTGTGGGCAGCAGCAAAATTCCCACTGGTACTAGAAGTACACCAAATGAGAAGCAGATTGAAAGTGAACTATGACTCAGGAGTCCTGGCTCAAGTCATGGTTCTGTGATTATCTATGTGACCTTCAGCGAGCACTGCTAACCCAATACTAATGGAACCCAATATGGTCTTGTCTCAGAAAGGATTCATATTTTTGGAAATGCAATAAAACTGGAAAGGCAATTCAAATATTTACTGGGAGTTGGAGCAAGGAGGGAAGAAGGAAAAGTAGACTAGGGATATTTCTACACCCCAAAAGAATTCTTCATGAGACATAATTTTCCCTATTATTCTGTGCATCTTTAAGTACTTAATTTGCACACTTACACAATAGAAAGAGGTTTGTGAACCTTTTCTTTTCCATAATGGAAATTATTCAAAAGAGATCTTTTAAAGGAGAGCAATATATGAAACATGTAAAAGCAGAGCTTCTCTGGTGAGGTGGCCATGAGGAGCCTGCAGCTCTGTCTTTCCGGCAGGACGTTTTCCCCATCTTCCCACTTCAACCTTGCAGAGATAGCTTATGAGGCATCTGCATAGACTATGGGGATCAGAGGGAGAGCATTTGGAGTGATCGCTTCCAGCTTCAGTAATCAAAGAAATCAGGAGAAAATAGATGTCATATTTGCTATTGTAAGAACTGAGCAGATTTATTTAGGCTTTAAAGTTCTTCTTGCTGAGCCCTGAAATTTCCTGCATTAAAGGATACATAAACTACATAGTAAAAGAAGTCTATAGCTACTCTGATCACATCTCCTGAAGACCCATGCTTGGTTATGATGTTAAATATCACATTGGTTGCATGGAGGAACAAATGCATAATCTGAAATAAGGTTGGGAAGAAAAGGATCTCAGAGCCGTGGGAGGTCATAACAGAGAACTTGACCTATGGGTCCGTGGAAAGATTTGGTGTGTGTTGGGGGAGGGATGTGTTGGGAGGGTATGACTCACTGAGGAAGCAGAAAAACTGTGGGGTTAGAGTGATGTATGTAGTAAGAAGTCACTAGAAG